TTATCACACCTCGCACAGCCAGCCTCAGAGACTCGGAGCAGGGACGGCAGGGATTTGAACCAGCAAAGCGCCCTCGTCAGCGTCCCAGGATGTATTCCTGGCCAAAGCTGGGAGGAACAGAGCCGTGAGCTGGTAGAAGGACTGGGACCAAGAAGCCTTGAGGCACCTTACTGCCAGAAGTGTAGCATCACTGGCTGCCAAGGAGGAAGCTATCCAAGGAAGAGGGCCATTTGGTCCCAGCTGCAGGGCTGAAGCAAAGAATTCAAGCTCAGCCTCCTCCAGGAGGTTAAGAGCTAAAGAATGCTGTTCAAGTCCGGGGTGAGTGATCCCAGCTGAGTATAAACTAGACGAGTGGAAAAGCCCACTTGTCTTCTGCTGGACTCAGGATGGAGGGTCTGGGCTGACTGACCCCATGAAGGCACTGAACCCCTAAGACTGGATTCTCCTTTAAACCTTTTTCCTCCCCCCTCCACTTTTTCTACCCTTCTTTTGCCAGCCCACCTCCAGCGGTCAAGTGAACTGCTTGTACCACATTCTGGAGAATCTGATTATACTCGGGACATTGGCATTTGGATTGCTGTCTGCTGCACAGCGTGCAGTTTAGTTTTAGCTTACGGTGCTCTATCTGCAGGTGTGATAGGAGGTGCTTTTAATGTGCTGACGAGCTGTCTCCAAGGAGGTCGTGTGCGTGGAAGATTCCCGAGACTACAGTTGCTCAAACAGCCCATGGCTCCCAGTAGGCCCCTGAGTGAATCCCTGAAGCTGGACAGAGCTGACTAGGAGAAGTGGGATGGAGGATATTTGGGGTGTATATTGCACCTTTGGTGATTAATGTTTCATACATATTTGGGGACTTTATGTGTGGGAACAAGCAAAAAGAAAGTCTTTTTGGTCTGATGGAGTTAGGAATTGATTTGGTGCCTGAAACGTCCTTGTTTCCCTTCATCTTACTCACTTGGCAAAACCACGCCCTGGTGAAACCCAGTTCTCTGTCTCCTGCGCAAGTGCATTTGTGCAGCCAACTCGGGGAAGCACAGCCAAGCACGCCAGACTCACTCTAAATTCACCATCTCGAACTCCAGGTTGGCCTCATTGCTGCGGGGATCAAATCACCTCACATCCCCCAAGATCCTTCTGTCTTCAAACCTCCCACATACCCTCTGAGACTTCCAAGCTCACCACCAGTCTCCCCATCAACCAGCCCCTCTCCGCTAATCAGTATCTGTGACCACAAAACAACCACTGGTTTAATTTCTGTCACTATGGACAGAGAGACACATAGTTCTGTCTGCTCTCGAAACCCATATAAAGTGGAATCAGCCTGTGCACTCCTGTCTCTGGCTTCTTTTGCTCCATACAATATTTTGAACCTAATTGATATTTCTGTATATATCAACAGTTTATTCCTTTTTCTTTCTGAGTAGCATTTCATTGTGTGACCATGCCATGCGTGTTTATCAACTCACCTGTTAATGGACAATCAGATGGTTTCCAAGTTGGGGACTTTAAAATAAAGTTGCTAAGAACATGTTTGTATAATTCTTTCTGTAGATCAAGGTTTTCATTTCTCTTTGGTAAATACCTAGGAATGGAATTGCTGGGTCCTGAGGTAGGTATATGGTTAACTTGATAAGAAACTGCCATGCTAGTTTCCAAAGTGGTTATACCATCCAATCCTCTCGGACTACAGTATGAGATATCCGGGTGCACTGCACAATCTGACCACTTAAAAAGTAAAGTAGGGTGGGTGGTGTTATAGCTCAGTGGTAGAGCATGGCTTAGCGCGCAAAGGTCCTGGATTCAGTCCCCAGTACCTCCATTAAAAAAAAAAGTAAATCAGAGTATGTCACTCCTCTGCAAAGAAACCTCTACTAACATGAAGACTAGATATTTGACTCTATTAAGGAATTGTTGTAAATTTTTTGGTATGAAACTGATTTTATGTAGACTTAAAAGAAGTTCTTATC